AGACAGGGCATTCACACCAGGTGCTATTATTGTATTGTCTGTTGTCATTTTTTAAATTTGACAGTCTAAGAGAAAAGAGCTCAGTGCCCCTGACTAAATAGTCAGGTATTGCATGTTTTAAATAAACACTACTATACTTCTTGGAAATTTTTCAGCCAGCAGTGAACTTGAGCCATCCCTTCTTGACTTGCATTTGTGCCTTAAAAGACTTAGTAAGAACTTGACTAGTCAATCATCTGGGAGAGTAAAGACCATATATGATGGTTAATTTTATGTGTCAACCTGACTGGGCTTCAGGTTGCCCGAATATTTGGTTCAACATTATTCTTGGTGTGTCCGTGAGGGTATTTCTGGAGGGATTAACAGTTGAATCAGACTGTGTAATGAAGATTGCCCTTCCCAGTGTGCCTCATCCAATTCATTGAAGCCTGACATAGAAAAAAGGCTCAGTAAGGGAGAACTCACTCTCTCCACCTAACCATCTTTAAGCTGGGACATTGATCTCCTCCTGCCTTTGGATGAGGACTCGAACTGGAATTCACACCTTCGGTTCTCCAGCTTCTCAAACCTTCAGATTCAGACGGGAAGTAAATCATAAACGCTTCAGAGTTTCCAGCTTGCCAACTGCTGAGATATTAGGACTTCTCAGCTTCCCTAATTGTGTGAGGCAATTTCTTTTTTTAGATTATTATTATTATTATTAATCTTTACCCAAGAATATGTTTTTATTGATTAAGAAGCGGGGAGAGAGAGAGAGAGAGGAAGAGAGAGAGAGAGAGAGAAACATCAGTGTGAGAAACATCCATCAGTTGACTCCCATATGTGCCCCAACCAGATCGAACCCCTGAAACCTAGGTATGTGCCCTGACCAGAATTAAACCCGAAACCTTTTGGTGTATAGGACGACACTCCAACCAACTGAACAACCTGGGCAGGGCATGAGCCAATTTCTTAAAATCAATCTCCCTCTCTAGCCCTCAACTCCTCCTCCCCTCCCCATCTCTGCTCAATACAAATTTTGGTACTGAAAGTGGTTCAAGAAGAACAGAATGTTAAGGATGAATTTTCTGAATTGGTTCTGGGGTTCCTGTAAATTCTCTCTAATCTGATTAAAGATGCTAATGATTCTGTTTCCAGTAGTAAAGATAGCACTGAAAGTCCATGGTGTGATTGGACAATAGAAATCCATAAAATATCTTCATTGGATGAACCTAATCAACCACTTAAAAGAAGCAAGGATCTGAGTGACTGTGTATATGATACTTTTGAAAATTTTTGAAAAACTAACTAATATAATGAGATTGCTGGTTGCTTATAATGTTGCAGACAAAGTGATGAAAGAAAAGAATGAGCTCAGGGATTTTAAAAAATACCTTTATTGTTGAAAGTATTACATGAACTCCCCTTTTCCCCCATTGACCTCTTCCAGTCCACTCCTGTCCCCTCCCCTCTCGAGGCCATCACCACCCCCATTGTCTGTGTCCAAGTGTTATGCATATATACACACAAGTTTATTGGTTGATCTCTTCCCACCCACCCTCCCCTGCCTTCCCTTTGAGGTTCAACATTCTGTTCATGCTTCTATGTCTCTGGGTCTATTTTTGTTCATCAGTTTATTTGGTTCATTAGATTTCACATATGAGTGAGATCATGTGACACTTATCTTTCTCTGACTGGGTTATTTGGCTCAGCTTAATATTCTCCATCCATGCTGTTGCAAATAGTAAGAGTTCTTTCTTTTTTATTGCTGCATAGTATTTTATTGTGTAAATGTATCACAGTTTTTTTATCCACTCATCTGCTGATAGGCATTTAGGCTGTTTCCAAATCTTAGCTATTATAAATTGTACTGCTATGAAGATACGAGTGCATATATTCTCTCTGATGAATGTTTTGGATGAGCTCAGGGATTTGAATTCCCAGCTCAAGCACCACATAAATGACCTGAAAGCTTCAATGTGTACCCTGAAGGAAGCCATGTTTCCTGTAGCCCTGGGGCTAAGATTACTACAAATCAAACATAAACTCTTCTCCCATAATTTGCTGAATTACAACACAAGTTGAACTCCCAGCCTCATAGGCTGTTAAAGTGAGAGCTTTCTGGGCACACTGAGCTCCTAAATTCAGATGAATCTTCTTTGTCAGTGGAAGTGGCCTCCCCCAGTAGAACCAGTCTCCCCTTCAGTGGTAGCAACCCTTCCATCTCCTACCCCACTCTGAGGGAATTAACTCTACTTGTCTGAGGAAAGTAATGGCTTCCCTTAGGGCTGTTTCCTCCCAAGACGATGCTAGTTCTCCTCAGGACCCACTCACCACTCTCTTTGTTTCTAGACCTATAAGTAGGCTCAAATTCCAGTAGGCCCACAGTGGTGAGGTAGAAAGTGTGACCTACAAGGGGATGTGCTATACTCCAAAAGAACTACTTAAGTTTCATAATTCACTAGAGACCCGGTGCACAAATTCATGCACCAGTGGGGTCCCTCGGCCTGGCCTGGGGGATCGGGCTGAAACCGGCTCTCTGACATCCCTCGAGGGGTCCCGGATTGTGAGAGGGCACAGGCCAAGCAAAGGGACCCACGGGTGCACGATCGGGGCAGGGGAGGGACTCAGGGGGTTGGTCAGCTGAGGAGGTACCACAGGAGGGCTCCAGGGCATGTCTGGCCCATCTTGCTCAGTCCCGATCAGCTGGACCCCAGTAGCAAGCTAACCTACTAATCAGAGTGTCTGCCCCTGGTGATCAGTGCATGTCATAGTGAGTGGTTGAGCAGCCTTAGCATATCATTAGCATATTATGCTTTGATTGGTTGAACGGACAACCAGATGACCGGACACTTAACATATTAGGCTTTTATTATATAGGATATGAACAAAAATCCAGGGAACATGTGTAAGAATGGATTTTAAGGATGTGGGATCATGGTGGAAAAAAACATAAAATTGTATCAGGTCGAGCCTTAGCTGGTTTGGTTCAGTGGATAGAGCATTGGCCTGTGGACTGAAGGGTCTCGGGTTCAATTCTGGTCAAGGGCACATGCCTGGGTTGCGGGCTCGATCCCCAGTAGGGGGTGTGCAGGAGGCGGCCAATCAATGATTCCCTCTTATCATTGATGTTTCTATCTCTCTCTCCCTCTCCCTTCCTCTCTGAAATCAATAAAAATATATTTTAAAAAATTGTATCAGGCCAAAATTATCAATGTCTGTCATTTTATAGGCCCTTAGGAAGGGCTGGGTCTGGCTGCAGTATCTGTTACACTGTCAAATCTCCAGAGTAAATCTGTGAATCTGGTTCAAATAGCCCCTGTCCTCCTTTTCTCTCACAGCTTGTAAGTATCCCTCCTTAAGCAGGAAGGGGGTTTGAAAAGCACAGATAGGGAGAGTGTGTTCTTTATTCAACAGTGGGTGAGGGCTAGATACTCAATAAATTGTGGGATTTTTTTTCTTCTTTTCTATATAATCATTTTCCAATATTCACCTCTTCTTTTCTTTGGCCATCTCTTCTTTAGCTATTTTGTTTTCCCCCAATCCCTGTAAACACACACACACACACACACACACACACACACACACACACGACCCATAGATCAAGGCCAAGGTTCTAATCCTTTACTCTAAAGTTCATTACCAGGGTGCTCCAGACTAGTTTAATTTCCTTCTTGCCTGGTCTCATATTTAAATTTATTCCTTGTATATGATCAAAGCTTAAAGCAGCTCTCATCACTCACTTGTCCTTTATACATACAGTATTAAGGCCCTTTCCCAAGCTGTGGCACAAGAATGCAAACTTTGTTTTCAACACATGCACGGTCTTCCATCTTTCCTATTAGTTTATCCAGCTGATCTCAGAGGCCTACTGGCTTTTACTGGCCCTGTGCTCACAGACATAGAATTTCTTCAATTATGTGCATGGATGGGATGCATGATTCAATACATTACTTGCCATTTCAATCTTACAATATCTTACTGTTTGTTTTTCTTCAGCAAATATTCATTCAGCCGAAGCCTATTGAAATCTGTCCATAGCACTGTGCTAGATGTTGTGGATATAAAACAAATAAAGCACTATTTCAGCCTAGGAGGTGCTCATAGTCTAGAAAGAAAAGGCAGCATGTAAACATGTATATTATACTGTGATGTCAAGCAAAATGAACTTCCTCTGGAGGAGTTGATAGAAGGCCTCAGAGGATGTGACACTTCTAATAGTCTTGAAACCTACTAGTAAGTGGGAGTTGGCCCAGCAGAGGATGGATTGGGAGAGAGTGAGGGTAAGGGCAGAATAGAGCATCAGAGTGAAGAGGATCCAGTGTGCAGAGGCACTGAAAAAAATTGAGGAAGATACTGATATTTTGGGGGAGATCTGATGGGCTCAGTGTAGTTGGATGTGCGTTGGATTGAATAGTAGTGATCAAATTGAGAGGACCTGTGTAGAAAGGATTGAATTTTATTCTAGAGGCAGGAAGAGAGAGGGGAAACTGTTCAAGCAGGGGAATTTAACAAGCAGGTTTGTCTCTTACAAGTCTATTGTCACTAATCTAATTACATGGACTCCAGGTTTTGGAGTCTGAGTGTCCTGTTTACTTAATCAGAGTTGCTCAGGGTAGCCTCTCAGTTGAGTTACTGCTTTTTCTTCAGGTCTAGAAACAGCATGTTTTCAGTATACCCAAAGGCTACTTAGTCTGATCCCAGTGCCCACTTGTGCTAATTCCCATAATTTATTTATTACTACAACACTGTCCTCCAAATGCTGTTTCTCCTTGGCCAGGTTGGACATATATTGACAGCCTTTGTCTTTTTGAGCTCTATTTTTCTGTCTTGACCCTTTCCTCTTGCAGTTCTGTTGGCCTAGTAGTCTTTAAATGCATTGCCTGCCTAAGTTCTTTGGCCCATTCCCTCTGTTTAAGCTCTAGGACACAGCGAGCACCAGTAGCCACGCCCACTCAAAAAAAAGTTTGCCGACAGGAAGTTTGTCTGCACCAGCGAGCCGTACTGACGGTGGAAGTGCGCAAGCGCAGTTCCCGGCTCCCAGTGGCGAGCTCCTCTTTCCCGGGGTTTCCACCTTCCTGGCATCCGGACACTCGCCCCCAGCACCCAGCACCCAGCACCCAGCCCCCAGCACCCGAGCCCCCAGCACCCGAGCCCTGCTGTGGGTCGCACTCCTCTTCCGGCAACACACCCATGGCGGAGCGTGGGGAACTCGACCTGACCGGCGCCAAGCAGAACACCGGAGTGTGGCTGGTCAAGGTAAGGCTCGCGCGGCTCTGGCTTGCGCTCCTCCTGGTGTGAGTAGTTTGAGTTACTTCGTGCGCCTTTTAAAGTTCCTTATGGTCCTCTTCACACACCTTGGGAGGCACGACTCGTTGCTACGCTCGCTTTCAGACCAGGAAATTAGTTTAGGGCACTGCAGTGTCTTCAGCCCGAGTCCGAACGGGCCTGGAATGGATTTCCGTCCCCCTCCACCCGGGTTTTCTGGGCTCTGTCTTGGTGTCCCGATTTGAGCGGTGCAGTTTACCCCAGGCCGAAGAATTTCTACACCTTCTTTTGGTGAAACTGATTCTAGGCTTAAACCTGTAAAGGAAGTGGAGAGTGTCTGCTTCCTGTAGAGTTTCCCTGCCAGAAAGTAGCACTGCTCTCCGCGTCCCCGCACGGGGGCTCGCGGGCGAGCCGAGGCAGCGCCGAGCCCACGCAGGGAGAGCCATTGGATTGGAGTGTTCTTCCAGAGCACGGCTGGATCTCCTGAAACAGACCGTCAAGAAAAGTGTTTTGTAAAGAGAGCAATCTTGATTAGCTCTTAGTGAGCACAGTATTTGTGCTTTACTTTTTCACACCGGTGAGTTGTTTCTTATGAGAACTCCATAAGATATATGTATGTTCAAAATGTGATTATGAGTCTTTGAGCCTCTAGGAAAATGGTTTGTTAAATTTTAAAAAACTTTTTTCGTATGGCTGGATTATCAAGTAGATCTGAGAGGCCCTTCTTGTCCACCTTCCTAAAGCAGGTCATTTGCCAGCCGGTCAAACCTGGTATTATTCTTCAGAGCACTTTTCACTTCTGAAGTGATTCTGTGTTCACGTGTTCAGTGTTGGTCACCTCCCTCTCCCTGCGCTTGCGCACCCACGCACATTCCACGAGCATAGGATCCTTGCCTGTCAAGCCCAGAATTGTGTTTGGCACATGGTGATTGCTCAACAGATATATGATGAATGGATGAATGATGCCTTACTTGTCAACCCTAGCCTTAGTCTCTGGCACTCATTTGACTTACCACAGCTACCTCAGTATGACTTGAAAATATGGAATAAACTAGAGGCCTGGTGTCCAACATTCGTGCACTGGGGGGTGTGGGGGTTCCTTAGCCCAACCTGCACCCTCTCCAATCTGGGAGCCCTCAGGGGAGCCCTCTCCATTCGGGGAGTTTCTGTCTGTCTTTGCAATCGTATGAGCGAATTGTCTGTGACCCCAACTCAGTTTGGTTTGTTGCTCACAGAATAATAGAGGCTTTTTTTTTTTTCTTTGCTCCATTGGTGGAGATTTCCTGGAAGCTTTAGGATATCTTCCCTTTAATTTTTCCTAGACACTCTGATTTTACTTATGTCTCTCACCTTTGCTTTCCCTCCATCCCCCACCGCAACAGTAACGTGCTCCAGGCTCACTTTGCTCTAGTGCAGTGGTTCTCAACCTTGGCTGCACATTAGAATCACCTGGGAATCTTTTTAAAATCCTGATTTCTGGGCCTCATCCTCCAGAAATTCTGTTTCTTTGTTATGGGGTGAGGCCACAACATTAGTAACAAAGAAACAATTTCCAGAGGATGAGGCCCAGAAATCAGGATTTTAAAAAGATTCCCGGTGAGGTTGAGACAGCCCCGGTGAGGTTGGGACGGCCCCTGGTAAGCCAAGAAAAATACCACATGAACTCACTCATTTATGGATAATAAGGACCATGATAGACTGATGAACAAAAATGGATACAGAGGCAGAGGAGCATTGAGCAGGCTGTCAAATTACAGTGGGAAGCCTGGGGAGGATTGGGGGGGCGGGTAGGAGATCAACCGAAGGACTTGTATGCATGCATATAAGAATAACCAATGGACACAAGACACTGGGGGGTGGGGTTGCCGGGGGAATGTCAAGGGGGGGAAAAAAGGAGACATGTGTAATACTCTTTGTAATACAGTGGGGCCTTGACTTACGAGTGTCCCAACTAACGAGTTTTTCGAGATACGAGCCATCTCTCGGCCGATTTTTTGCTTTGAGTTGCGAGCTAAAATTTGGGTTACGAGCCAGCTTCAGATACCCCACCGCTAGTTGGCACAGCGAACGTCACAGTGAACGCCACAACATCAGCCCAGCATCACGTGTCTCACTCGTTCACAATTGATTTGACATACGAGTAATTTGAGTTACAAGCTCCTTCCGTCACGGAACGAATTAAACTCGTAAGTCAAGGCCCCACTGTACTTTAAGAAATTTAAAAAAAAAAAAAAAACAGTAAAAAAAATAAATAAATAAAAAGATTCCCAGGAGATTCTAATGTGCAGCCAAGGTTTAGAACCACTGGTCTAGGACAGTGGTCGGCAAACTCATTAGTCAACAGAGCCAAATATCAACAGTACAACGATTGAAATTTCTTTTGAGAGCCAAATTTTTTAAACTTAAACTATATAGGTAGGTACATTGTTATTAACTTAATTGGGATATTCCTAAGGCTTAGGAAGAGCCACACTCAAGGGGCCAAAGAGCCGCATGTGGCTCGAGAGCCACAGTTTGCCGACCACTGCTCTATACCTTTCAATCTCTAGTGCAGGACAGTGTTAAAGGCTGTTTCTGACTAATTGGATTAGACAAAGACTCAAAGCCTCCAGAGACCACCTCTGTCTACAGACTAATAGGATTTTGTGTGAGGCGAACGTGATAACCACTACACTACGGAAACCTCCAACCAGACTAATAGGATTTTGAATCAACCCCAGGCAGTTATCCTCGGGTGGTGGGGGAGTTTTTTTCAACAGGGTGGGGCAGTTGCTTCTGCCTGGAGGCTAATCTCTTAAGTGGCCTCAGGGCAAGGTGTTTTCCAATAGAATGTGTCAACTATCTTCCCCCCAGGCAAGGCAGATGACTGGGAAAGATGTCCCCCGCTGTGTGAGGGAATGACTCAGCCTCGGGAACTTGGGGTGTCTGCCTTCTGAGCTCTGTCCCCTGAGTCCCCAATCCTGGGTTCTGCTCTCACAGCTCATGTCCATTTCACCCTCCCTCTGCCAGAGCACTAGGTAGATGGCTCCACAGGGAATTTTTGTGCATTGGCCCTTTAAGAGGGTTCCTGAACTTTCAGCTCCACTCCCTGGCAGACAGCACCCCTCTGCTTTTCACAGCCAGATGTTATGTGGGTACCTTCCTCAGTTCGGTGCTCTCTGCTGGGGAGCCCAACTTCGGGATTAGATCCCAGAGTTCTCAGTGGCACCCCCCTTCCCACCCACAGCTGAGATATCTTTCTGGGATTTCAGTAGCTGTCTGTGGGTGCCTGGCCAGCCCTTTCGCGCCTCCGCCCCTCCTACCAGTCTCTATGACAGGGGTGGGCAAACTTTTTGACTCGAGGGCCACAATGGGTTCTTAAACTGGACCAGAGGGCCGGAACAAAAGCACGGATGGAGTGTTTGTGTGAACTAATATAAATTCAAAGTAAACATCATTACATAAAAGGGTACGGTCTTTTTTTTTTTTTTCAAAAGGGCCGGATCCGTAGTTTGCCCACGGCTGCTCTATGAGGTCTCCACCTTCAGTCCTTGGGTATTAGGGTTCTTTCCTGTGAGTTTTCCATTGATTATTCAGGAAGCCTTTCTGTATTTCAGTTGTAATTCCAGCTTGTTCCTGGGAACATGTCCATGCAGCATCCTTCTACTCTGCCGCCATTTTTCTTTTAATTAAATCTTTATTGTTCAGATTATTACAGTTGTTCCTCTTTTTCCCCCCATAGCTCCCCTCCACCCGGTTCCCACCCCACCCTCTGCCCTCAATCCTCCCCCACTGTCCTCATCCATAGGTGTACGATTTTTGTACAGTCTCTTCCCGCATCCCCCACACCCCTTTCCCCCCCAAGAATAGTCAGTCCACTCCCTTACTATGCCCCTGATTCTATTATAATCACCAGTTCATTCTGTTCATCAGATTATTTATTCACTTGATTTTTAGATTCACTTGATAGATGTGTATTTGTTGTTCATAATTTGTATCTTTACCTTTTTCTTCTTCTTCCTCTTCTTAAAGGATACCTTTCAGCATTTCATATAATACAGTGGGGCCTTGACTTACGAGTTTAATTCATTCCGTGACGGAGCTTGTAACTCAAATTACTCGTATGTCAAATCAATTGTAAACGAGTGAGACACGTGATGCTGGGCTGATGTTGTGGCGTTCACTGTGACGTTCGCTGTGCCAACTAGCGGTGGGGTATCTGAAGCTGGCTAGTAACCCGAATTTTAGCTCCCAACTCAAAGCAAAAATTCAGCGGAGAGATGGCTCGTATCTCGAAAAACTCGTTAGTTGGGACACTCGTAAGTCAAGGCCCCACTGTACTGGTTTGGTGGTGATGAACTCCTTTAGATTTTCCTTATCTGTGAAGCTCTTTATCTGACCTTCAATTCTGAATGATAGCTTTGCTGGATAAAGTAATCTTGGTTGTAGGTTCTTGCTATTCATCACTTTGAATATTTCTTGCCACTCCCTTCTGGCCTGCAAAGTTTCTGTTGAGAAATCAGCTGACAGTCGTATGGGTACTCTGTTGTAGGTAACTGACTGTTTTTCTCTTGCTGCTTTTAGATTCTCTCTTTGTCTTTTGCTCTTGGCATTTTAATTATGATGTGTCTTGGTGTGGTTCTCTTTGGGTTCCTTTTGTTTGGGGTTCTCTGCGCTTCCTGGACTTGTAAGTCTATTTCTTTCACCAGGTAGGGGAAGTTTTCTGTCATTATTTCTTCAAATAGGTTTTCAATATCTTGCGCTCTCTCTTCTTCTGGCACCCCTATAATTCGGATGTTGGTACGCTTGAAGCTGTCCCAGAGGCTCCTTACACTATCTTAGTATTTTTGGATTCTTTTTTCATTTTGCTTTTCCGGTTGGGTGTTTTTTGCTTCTTCGTATTTCAAATCTTTGACTTGATTCTTGGGATCCTCTAGTCTGCTGTTGGAACTCTGCATAATATCCTTTATTTCAGTCAGTGTATGCTTAATTTCTAGTTGGTCCTTTATCACAACCTTGAGGGTCTCACTAGATTTCTTGAGGGTCTCACTACATTTATCGGCGGTCTCACCAGACATTTTGAGGGTCTTACTAAATTTATCAGTGGTTTCTAGAAAGTTCTTGAAAAACCTTATAAGTGTGGTTTTGAACTCTATATCCAGTCGTTTGCTTTCCTCCATTTCTGTCATTTGTGACCTGTTTCTTTGTCTCCGCATGTTTTATGCTTCCCTGTGTTGGTAGAGTGGCTTTCTGTGCTAGGTGTCCTATAGGGCCCAGTGGCTCAGCCTCCCCAATTACCTGAGGTGGACACTCTTGGTGCATCCCTTTGTGGGCTGTGTGCACAGTTTTGTTGTAGTTAAGCCTTGATTGTACAGTGGGGCCTTGACTTACGAGTTTAATTTGTTCCGTGACGGAGCTCGTAACTCAAATTACTCATATGTCAAATCAATTGTGAACGAGTGAGACACGTGATGCTGGGCTGATGATGTGGTGTTCACTGTGACGTTCACTGTGCCAACTAGCGGTGGGGTATCTGAAGCTGGCTCGTAACCCGAATTTTAGCTCACAACTCAAAGCAAAAAATCGGCCGAGAGATGGCTCGTATCTCGAAAAACTCGTTAGTTGGGACACTCGTAAGTCAAGGCCCCACTGTAGTTGGTATCACTGGGAGGAATTGACCTCCAGGCCAGTTGGCTGTGAGAATCAGCTGTGTCTGCAGTAGGAGAACTTCTGTGCTGGAGACACCCTTCCGGGGCAAGACTTGCTTCAGTGGGGCATTGGTGCTCACTGAGTCTGCCCCCTGAGTGTGTCCCTTATGGATCTGAGGAGTTGTAATCTGGATGGTCCCACTCTGACCACTGGGTACACTGGCTCTTGGATCTCTAAGGAGGTGCTAATTTAGCCTCTGCCTGAGGCTACCCAGCAGGAGCTATGGAGAGATCTGCAGATTCCTCTTCTTTGTTTGGGATTTGGAGGTGCCCAGATGAGGCCCAGCTGTGAAGCAATGGAAGCTGCTGTGGGGCCTTGGGCCTTCTTTTGGATGTTCTGGGTCGCTCTGACCCAGCTGCTGTTTGTTAGGTAAATTTAGATTGCTAAGGGCCAGGTCATTCATATGCAAAAGCCTCTGCGCACAGCTTGGGTGGGGCAGGGTCTCAGGGAATCAATAGGGTGGAGCAAACAGCTATGGCTGATCCTCAGTCCTACCCTAAGAGGCCCTGGGTCTCAGTGTCCCGAGGTAATCGCTGCAAGCACTTCTGAGAGAAAGCTGCCCTCGAGTTCCGCCCGATGCCAGACAGTCCAGTTTCTTCCCGTATGAGTCTGGGTCCCCAGAGACTCGCCCAGAACTGGAGTTGGGGCCGTCGGGAGCTTGTGTCTCCCTCCCGAATGAAAAAGACAACTGTGTCCTCAGTTGCCAGCCCTTTCTGTGCACACCTCCGTACCTCTGCACTTTATTTCCGCACCTCCTCTGAGTCTCAGTGTGCTTTTCTCTTTCCTTCTAGTTGTAGAATTTCCACTCAGCCAGCCTTCCTGTGGTTCTGGATGTCCGTTTTGTCTTTTAGTTGTATTTTTGAAGTGGTGTGCAAGGTAGCAATTTCAGGTGTTTACCTATGCCGCATCTTAGGCTTCTTTGAGAAGTCTTTTCTGGTAGCCTTTCTCATCTCTGAACTTCGACTTAGTTGGGACATAAGTTAATACTTCATTATTGTTAAGTTCTTTGATCTCTTAGTTTTGTGTCACCAACTTGATTGACTTCAAGCTCTTTGAGAACTAAAGTAATTTCTTACATATCTTAATATCCTTATAGTGCAAAACATATAACGAGAGCTTGATACTAATGATTATTTATTACAGGCAGAAAGTAAAATAGAAGCAGTATATCATTTTATGTTTAAAAAGATTTCTTAGTAGCATGGAAGGACCTGGAGAGTATCATGCTAAGTGAAATAAGTCAGAGAAGGACAAGTATCACATGATCACACTCATATGTGGAATCTAAGTAACAAAATAAACTGATGAACAGAGTAGATCCAGAGAACATGGAAGCATGGAATAGAGTTTGGACTTTCAGAGGGACGGTGGGTGAGGGTGGGTGGGTAGGAGGTAATCAACCAAAGACCTTGAATACATATATGCATAACCCATGGACACATAATAGGAGCTAAAGGCCTGGGTGTGGGGCGGGGGGCAGGCTGGAGGAGGTCAATGGGGGAGAAATGGGGACATATGTAATACGTTCAATAATAAAGAATTATTAAAAAAAAAAAGATTTGTTAGTGTCCAAAACATAGTCTAATTAGTATTTTACTTTGTTTTAGGTTCCTAAATATTTGTCACAGCAGTGGGCTAAAGCCCCTGGAAGAGGTGAAGTTGGGAAACTGCGGATTGCTAAGTAAGTTGTTTATATATTTTTGGCATTTTAAAAAGCTGTTTAAAAAATTTTCATAAGTGCTTTTATTTTTTATTTTTATTTTCTTTTTTAAAAAATATATTTTATTGATATTTTACAGAGAGGAAGGGAGAGGGATAGAGAGTTAGAAACATCGATGAGAGAGAAACATCGATCAGCTGCCTCCTGCACACTCCCCACTGGGGATGTGCCCGCAACCAAGGTACATGCCCTTGACCGGAATCGAACCTGGGACCCTTGAGTCCTCAGGGCGATGCTCTATCCACTGAGCCAAACCAGTTAGGGCTTCATAAGTGCTTTTAAATGGAATTACAGTCCTAGCCGGTTTGGCTAAGTGGATAGAGCTTTGACCTCTGGATTGAAGGGTCCCTGGTTCGATTCTGGTCAAGGGCACATGACCGGGTTGCGAGCTCTATCCCCAGTAGGGGGCTTGCAGGAGGCAGCCGATCAATGATTCTATATCATCATTGATGTTTCTATCTCTCTCTTCTCCCTCCCTCTCTGAAATCACTAAAAATATATTTTTAAAAATTGTCATTCTTAGGAATTCGGTTTGAAATTTATTTTTAAAAACATGGAATTTCACTCCTTTTCAGAATTTTACCTGGAAAATGAGATGTAATGAGCATGTCAAAGTTCGTCAAGAGATGGTTAGATGCCCTGTAGGGAGCCATGTGTGCACACGGGTACATGCACAAACACACTCGCACTTCCCCCCTACTGACAGGTGTAAATATAAAGTCAAATTTATTGGTAAAATTTATAGGCAGTAAAGCAGCAGAATATGTAGTTCCCTCATTTCTCCATCCTTTCCACATCCTGTGAGAAGGTGTACTTGAATTGGCATAACTGGATGTGTCAAATTAAGTTCTTCAGTAGAAGGATTTTGCCATTGTGCCACAAAGTTTAAAGTGGTGTCACTTTAAAGTTTCTTCATTGCAGGTAGGGAATACCTGGTAAACAATGTAACAGTGTAGCTTCCTGGTGGAGAAAATGGCCTTATTAGAAAGGGAATCCTACCAAGCTCAGCCAGTGGCAGCCAGAGGCCTTGTGTTCTGTTCTTTCTGTCCATTCATTCTTAATCTAACTCTAGCCAGATTTTCATGCCTGCTTTGAAACAGCTCTTGTTTATCACCATTGTCCTTTTCTTTATCAAGATTTTGCTTCAAAGCAAACCACCCCAAAATGTAGTGGCTTAGAACAAAAACCATTTTATTTGCTTATAATTCTTTGGGGCAGTCCTGGTTATGGCTGGCTTGGCTAATTTTCCTGGCTAGAATGGCCTCACTCGTGTCTTGTCTTTGGCTTGCTGTCAGCTGGGGCAGTGGCCATGTGTATTTCATCTCCAGCATGCCTGTTCACATGGTGGTGAAAGCAAAAGAGAAGACACCCCAATCCCCAAGCACTTTGCAAGTCTGTTCTTGCATCTTATTTGCCGAAGGCCTAGTCACCAAGGCTATTCCCACAGAGATGCCCAATTTCAAGGGTGGAGCAATAGATTCCACCTCGTAGTGTGAGTTACTGCAAGAATTTGTGGTCCATTTTTGTAGTCTTCCACATCTGTATTCCTAAATCTAACAGACAGCTAGCAGCCCTCTTAACTGACCTTTAACAGAATTTAACATAGATGATCACTTCTATTCCCAAACCCTTTCTTCACTTCACTTCCGGGACACCACTCTCTTGATTCTCCTCTTTCCTCACTGGGTGTTCCTTCTCAGACTCTATTGCTGGTTTCTTCTCATCTCTCAGTCTCTAACTGTTATATGACCCTAGGGCTCAGTGTTTAGTTCTTTTCTTCTCTCTCTTTGACTGACTTCTTAGGTGGTCTCATCTGGTTTCATAGAATATCAGGTTGTATTTAAAGATATCTGAAGTATGGCCTCTCCTCTGATCTCCAAGACTCATATGTCTGAGCACTTTGATATTTCCTTTTGGATGTCTCAGAAGCATCTTAAACTTAATAATTGCTCTTCCTCTGTTCCTTCTTTCTGGAACACTCTTCCTTTGAATCCCCAAGGCTAGTATTAGTTCAGTGAGGCCTTTTCTAATTATCCTCTCTCTCCCTCTCCCTTTCTCTCTGAAATCAATAAAAATATATTTTAAAAAAACAAATTTAGTAATGCTATGACAAGCTTAGTAATAATAGCTATTTTATTCTTTTTTGCTGCTGTTAATTCTTACCCGAGGATATTTTTTCATTGATTTTTTTTTTAGAGAGAATGGAAGGGAGGGGGAGAGACAGAGAAACATCGATGTGAGAGAGACACATTGATTGCTTACCTCCTGCATGTACCCCCACAAGGGCCAGGGACCGTGACCCTTCAGTCTGCAGGCCCACTCTCTAGTCACTGAGAAAACTGGTCATGGCACTATTTGTTTTTAAATATATTTTTATTGATTTCAGGGAGGAAGGGAGAGAGAGAGAAACATCAATGAGAGAGAATCATTGATCAGCTGTCTCCTGCACGCCCCCTGTTGGGGACTGAGCCTGCAACCTGGGCATGTCCCCTTGACCGGAATTGAACCTGGGACCCTTCAGTTCGCAGACTGACACTCTAGTCACTGAGCCAAACCAGCTAGGGCCAGGGTGCTATTTTATTCTTTAGTTCCAAAAGTGAGATAGTTAGAAAATCAAAATGTGAACATTTTTTTTCTAATTAAAAATATTTATTTATTACTTTTTCGGTGGGGGGGTGGGGGACGGGGACATAAATTTGTTGTTCCACTTATTTATGCATTCATTAGTTGTTTATCATATGTTCCCTGACCAGACATCGAACCCACAACCTTGGCATATCAAGCCGACACTAACCAACTGAGCTACCCGGCCAGGACAGAATGTGAACATTTTTATTTTTAAGGCATAAGTTTTTCCTGCTGCTTCTCCAAAAGTATATAACCTGGACATCTTTTTTGCCTAAAATACCCACTGTTTGTATGCAAGGACTATACCTTTTTGGGAGTGGGAGGGTGTCACTTTAAAGTTTCTTCATTAATCCATTCAGCTGTGGAATTTGGATTTGGTGGACACCCTCTGGATTTTGTTCTTTGGAGGAGCAATGCTGTATTTTTGGATGATGTCATGTTTTAAACATAGTTTATATACTAAGTATTTTGTTCTTTATCTTACTTACTTTTGTTTAAAAATATGCTTTAAGCCCTGGCCGGTGTTGCTCAGTTGGTTGAGCATCTTCCCAAGAGATCTCTGGTTCAGTTGCTAATCAGGGCACGTGCCCGGGTTGTGGGCTTGATCCCCCAGTAGGGAGCGTCCAGGAGGCAGCCATCGATGTTTCTCTCCCATTTTGTTTTAACAAGATATGGATTGGAAGCAGGCATGCTTTTATATCCAAAGTTCTTAAGGTTAGGTAGAGACAGGCAATTTCTTCTTTTCTGAAAAAATAACTACCCAGCCAGCTCTGTGGTTAGAGTGTCGGCCCACAAACCGAAGAGCGTCGGTTCAATTCCCAGTCAAGGGCATGTACCTAGGTTGCAGGCCCAATCACAGCCTGGGTTGGGGTATGTGCAGGAGACAACTGATGGATGTGTCTCTCACACATTGATGTTTTTCTCTTCTTCCCCCGCCCCCCTCCAGTTGCTCTAAGAATCAATGGGAAAAATATCCTCAGGTGAGGATTAACAACAACAACAACAAAAAACCCCCACTACATATTTAATAGCGGAATCAGGCTTGAATTCAGGCCTTTGAGTGGTTAGAAAACTCAAGCAGGTTCTAGTTCCAGCTCTTTCACTTACTTTGTATAGGTCATGTAATCTGTGTTTAGATCCTTATCCCTAAAATTGCCTGTTTTGTAGGCCTTTTATGTGTATTCAGTGAGATAATATGGAAATTATTTGTTTATTTAACTTATAAAGTGGACATATTCCTGGAAAGTTGTAGATAAATCACATTTTTGTGAGGTGTTCTACTCTTGTTAAAATAAAAATGAATGTATACTTTTAAACAAAATCTGTGGTGGTCTTTTTTCTGGAATCCTTGGTAATACAGATAATTACCTACTTTTTGTTACAGACTTCAGACTATCTTATAATTGGTTTTACTGGAAATGGGAGCCATACAATAAAATCACAGAATTGTATGTCACTGAAGAAAGGCAGGCTAAAGGAAAAATGTATTTAAATAATGAACACGTAGTATTGTAAAATGACCACACTAGAGCTCAAGCCTGAGTCCTAGTCCTAAGTGGCTGTTGATCATTACCTTTGGCCTTGGGCCTTATACATCTAAGACTTAGGTTTCTTGTTTGTAAAATGTGGATAATAATGCCTTCCCAACCAATTCAGAGAGTGTTTATGAGACAAATGAAATAGCTTATAGTTTCTTTAAATGCTTTGTAAAATCAACTGATCTTTCTTTGTTTTTGTTTTTTTTACTTTTATTTATTTACTAATGGCCCGGTGCACGAATTCATGCACATTGAAAGTAAATTAATTAGAAGAAATATTTCATATCACTATTTGCCCTTTCTCTATAATAGAAATGTCAACCAAATTCACAATCGACAGTGACAGATCAAAACACGTGTGCGATTGGCGGCCGCGAGAGCTTTATATGTATTGCGCATGTGTGAGTCATCTTAGCCTTTTGTAGATACAGAATAAACTTGCTTAATTAGACCTGCTTTCTGATTTAGCTAAACTTCTTCCAGCCCAGTGAAGCACCCCAACTTCTCTTTCAGGTAATTGTCAGCAACACAGCAGTAAATATCAACACAAAGCAGTGTAGATCATGCAAGGAGAACAAAGGGTAAAATATTTAACTGCAACAGTGTTTGACTATATTTTGCGCAGTGAGAAAACCTGAAGTCATTTTCAAGGTCCACCATTTCTTACTTCTTTTCAGTCGGGTCAGGTTTCTAAGCTTTCTAAATCTCTGTTTTTTGGCTAATGAAAAGAAAATAGGATTCCACCGAGTCTCCTATTTACCTACTCCAGGACTTCTATGAGGATCAAATGTGATG